GGTGGATATAGCTCGCTAGCAGCCTCGCACCGAGGACCTATCCACGTCATCATTTACCCAGAATGCTTTGTGTGGAAATAAAATGGCTCAGTCCTTAAAATTAATTTACAAAACTAAACATCCTACAGTATTTTACAGTTAAAATATGTTTATCAAAGTTTAATGTTACAACTAATCGTGGTTTTTTAATAAATAAAACGAAGCACTCAAACATCCTGTTTTGAGCTCTTATTTTCTTAATCTGTTTCTTCAGCTGTGCGTCATTAGTCGGCTGCAGCGGCGGCTCCCAGCCTCTGTACTTCGATGGTAGCTGCTCTGTGGGGAACCTGTGCCACGAGCTCATTCACGCTCTGGGGATGTACCACGAACACACCCGCATGGACCGAGACCAGTACATCTCTATCAACTGGTCAAAAGTCAAGCCTGGTAAATGCAGCAGTGTGGGGTAGGTTTTATACTCATACTTGCTTCTCTAAAGATTTGATTTTATTACTTTTTTTAAAGGCAAGAAGGGAAACTTTGAAATAAGTGCTGGAAACACTCTGAACCTGCCGTATGATTACAACTCTATAATGCATTATGGACCGTAAGTTGTAACACTTTCTACATTAACAAAGGTAAGAATTATGTGCAGTTTTTAAAGTGTTTTCTGCAGGTCTTTCTTCAGTGTCGATGGAACTCCAACCATATTGACCAATGGGGGATATAATATTGGTCAAAGGAAATACCTGAGCCAGCTGGATATCCAGAAACTGAACACACTCTACCACTGCTGAGAGTCCAACTGGTTTGAGTCCAACTGGTTTGAGTCCAACGAGGTTTAATAAAGACTTTTAACTGACTTGAAGGTTTTTGCTGAGTTTTTTTTTTTTTTTTTATTCTAGAGGCTTATCTCCAGTTGAGATGGGAGAATTTTAACAAAGTGGATTTTAATTTAAACTCTGTAGGATTAAGACATTTAATGTGAGCTCTAAATCAGTGGTTTTTAACTTTTGTGACCTCCGGGCCCAATTTGTTGAACAAAGTGACACGAGGCCCAGTCAGAAATTACCATACGGATCTAAATCTTGGGTTTAATTTTTATTGTATTTACATTATAAATATTAAATACACTTCCTAAAGTAAAACTTCTGTCAAATAATCACAAGACATTATGACAATCTTTTGTTGTAACCTGCACATAACTGTGGAAAAAGTCAGTCAACAGACCACTCAGGCTTATCAACACAAATGTATNGCCTCGCACCGAGGACCTATCCACGTCATCATTTACCCAGAATGCTTTGTGTGTAAATAAAATGGCTCAGTCTGTGTTAAAATATATTTTAAAAATGATAAAAACTAAACAGCCTACAGTATTTTTACAGTCTTTATTTTACAGTTAAAATATATGTTAACAGGTTACAGGTGCTGATTTTCAAGGTTATGTTGTGACAATTTTGTCCCTTTTTTCTGTTTTYGTTTTTCCCTCCAGAGACTCACAACCTTCCTAAGCAGCCCCCCCTGGCCCAGGCAGTGGGTCAGGCTGCCCAGTGCCTCGCCATCATGGCCAGAACTGGCATCGGCTCCTGCGCCTTTGCCTCTGTGGACGATTACCTGCACTAGCCACACACACAGACACACACACACTCACACACACACAGCCCAACACACACACGCACTCCAAGGACCCAACCAGAAATGTCTTCCTCCCCCTCTTCCATCAGTGTAGTCCTGTTAGCTGAGGAGACCCTCCTCTGTAGTAGAAAGTGAACCCCCTCACCTGCTGCTTGTTCTGCTTTTACAACCCAACACGAACGCCACAGAGGAGCGGGACTCATTTCTGGACAGATCTTTGGAGTTCACACCACATACATGAACACCACACAGAAACAGCACCTCCTTCATCATAGATTAAAGAAAAACTCTGCCTCCACTTGGATCACTCCCATCCCTCCGCCCCCCAGAGGCTGCTGTCTCTGCATCCTCCTGACTGACAGCCAGGGAGCGACAGCAACTTGAAATACTCTGAGAGCCGGACTTATGGACTCACTGCAGCGCCCCCTGCAGACCACAGCTCAGCTGCAGGATGGTGGTCTCCTCTGCAGCGCCCCCTGCAGACGTGGAGGCATCACGGCAGGGCGGGCGGCTTGGCAAAACCAATACTGATCAAACATACGCCGTGTGAGATGAAACAAAACCAACCTGTGGTCGAGGACAGGTTTAGGACCCTCTCCACTGAGGCTCGCCGAGCGCTCAACATCAGCCCTCTGCACCGACCCCCCCCTCTCCCCCTCCACTGACTTCAGAACACGGGCAGAGATTTGCGTGGCGCATGTGGACTCGGGACTTCCCGGAGAGATCCTGCAAGTCTCCACTTGATGTTCCTTGTTTTTAATCTTTTTGTTTAGTTTGTTTTTCTTCAGCAGAATGTGTGGAGGTGGGGGTTACCCAGCTTTTGTTTTGTTTAGGTTTTATTTTCTTCAGGTTTACAAGGCATGGTGCAGACAATGATTATTATTCTTCTAATTATCATTACATTGATTATTGTTACTTGCATTCACAGTATATTTGTTGAGCGCCAGCGACAGCAAGTTCCACCAACTTATTATAATAAAGTTCCCAATTCTACAGATCCCCAGTGACGAGCATCTGTATGTTAACATTTCTATATAAGTTTAACAAAATGGAACTATATCAATAGAGCTACATATTTAGTTATCAAAAAGCTAAGAAATCATTAAAAAAAAAACTTTTAATGTTTTTTACTGACACCAGCAAAACATGAAACTATTCCCAGTTTGTTTTGTTGCTCTGACACGAGTGAGGAAGTTCATAAATTTGACCATTTCGTTGCAAAATTCTCACCAAATTTATCAGGATTAAGTCTGATTTATGACAAAAAACTAACTTATGGTGAGACGGTTTCACCCAAACCCACAGCAAGTTTATTCCAAGCATTGTGTTAATTTCCATATTAGTGTTTATTTTTCCTCGGTGGTTAAAATAAGCTTCAAGCTGCTGTCAGACTCTTGTTAATAAGTGGATTGAAATATTCTGAACTGGATCAAAATAGCAGGATTTGTTTAATTTTAAAATGCCCTGATGCATCTCAATCCAGGTAGGAAAATCTAAACCTTTTTTTAAATTTATTTTTAAAAGTACTCATTGCAAAATATGAATCAAACCAAAAAAGTTTCTGCTGAGCTGTAGTGAATGTTTCCATTTGAACGTTTACTTCAGTTTAGCAGATATTTTAATATGCAACTCTAAAATGCAGGTCCACAGTCAATGTAAACAAAGCACTCTGCAGAATTCACTGAAAAGCACGAGTTGTGATCGACCTACAGTGACTGCTGGCTGATGAGGTAAACGTGGAATCTGAGCGGATATTTAGGTAGACAGAAAAGAGACGAATTAGATCTCGTCAAGAATAAATATTAGTGATAAAACTTTCAGGTTTCTATCTGATCAGAAAGTTTGAATTTAAAGTGCCTGTGATGTCAGATTTTTGTGGTACATAATACATTTTAGAAAGAAGACATTGATAAAATATTGCAAAAGAAATTTCACATCGCTGAGAGGAACAGTTGTTGAGATATTTGCTTATAAAGTAACAGGAAGTGATGTCAAAGAGGAATGTCTGCATGTGAACAGAGCTTTGCAAAAATGGCTGACAATCCAGACTAGAGAAAAATCTGATGTTTCTTAAGATTATTTTGAGTCACTGTCAGAGAGAGATGAAGAAGAGTCAGAGTTCAAATAATATTGTTTCAATAAACAAAGACCAGAGTTTTCTTTGTTAGAGAGTTCCCCTTTGATGTCACTTCCTGTTTCACTTCACTGAGTCAAGTTCAAAAGAAAATCTGCCAGTTTTGGACAAAATGGGCAAAATTGTGTGAATTGTTCCAACTTTCTTAAATATAAAGATTTTTTCTTTGACTTTTTGTATTTGAAGAATATCACAGGCACTTTAAACACGAGTTTAAAAAAAATGTTTTTCTAACAAACTTCATGCTTTACTCAACAAATCAGAACCTGAGTATCAATACATYAAAAAAATGTTCAGACTCCGTGATCCCAAACAGACTTCCACTAATGTTACAGCAATTGGTCTGGTTTTAATCACACCAGTAGCTGGTTTTTGGCAACTGGTCACAAATTTACTGTATTTATACATGTAAAATACGGTCACCGCTTTTTTTTTTTTAAGCTTAAAAACCTAATTATCAATAACCCGTGTATAATACTACTCCCTACACTTTATGGATGACTTATAGGGTTTAATTTCTAGTATTATATATGAATAAATACAGTAAAATTAAAGGATCCATTAATCCTCAATAGGAGAAAATGTACTAGTTTTTGTGTCAGCATTATTAATTTTTGGTTTCATGACTTTGCAATGAGTAAAAAAGTCCAATGTTTAAATATTCAGAAAAGATGCATTTTATTATCAGCGTTTATGCTTTAAAACAAAAAAGCTGGTTTTGTTTTTAAGCCTCAGTTTGCCCCGATTACTAACACACAATTTAAAATGTCCGAGTCTGGCAGTAAGCTTTATCCTGAACTCCTTGAACACACCAGAGTGAACAGAGTGCAGGTCAGGATGTAGTTTTAATTTAATTTTTGATTTATTTTGTTTCCTGTTTGTTTTCCCGTCTGATTTTCTTTAAAGAGTTTAGGTAGCATTCAGGTCAAATCTCCACTCTGCCTGATGTTTATATGAACCCACCAGAACTTTCAGTTCATCCAGATTCTCTTCTCTTACTGCAGAAAGCATTAGGATCAATCAGCATTAACTGCACTGTGGCTACCGTGTTAAACCAAATATTTAAAAACGTCGACACACAGGTACAGGAATGTTGAGGCTTTGCTAGACTCATCATCCATCGTTAAGTCTCGATCCCTTTAGGTGTCCAGAGTTTACAGTACTCCTCGAGGTGGAACTGAGCTTTTCTGTGTTTTGTTTTTCCTCATTTAAACTTGTTTTTTTGCAGATCAGTCACAGCATCGTTTAAAAAAAACTAAAGACAAAAAAAAAGAAGAACCGTTCTTAGACAAAGTGTCTGTTGTCTCTTTCTGAGTAAGGTCTGAAACCTATGCATGCCATAGTAAAAGTGGTGGTAAGATCAAGTTAGATGTCTCTTCTTCTTTTGGTTCCTCCTCCTTTTAGCCAGTTCACGGTGTTTAAGGAAAGATGTCAACCAGTAAGTTGTCCACTGCTGACTGTGTGTCCGTTTGGAGAAAAAAAAAAAAACATGTGCAATTTGTGTGAGGGTGCAAAGATTTATATTAAAAACAACAAATGATGACGGCACTTGTGTGGATGCTGCGTGACGCCTGAAGCTGCAGTTTTTTTGTGCTGCTTTCTAGGGAATTTGTGGATTGGGGTCAGTTTAATCCCAGATGACGTGTTCAAAGATAATCCTGAAAACCCTTTTTTTCCCCCCTCATTCTGAGGACAAAGGTGGAGAAAAACAAGTATTTGTAGATTTGGATGAAGTTTCTGGATCCTTCAAATATTTCTCTTTTAAATCACCAATTTAACATCTCAAATTATGGATGTATTCTGACTAAAGCCTGATTTCTTTAAAATGAAAAGCACTGCTGAAGTAATGTGTGCAGAGTATTGCTAAATTTTAATTTAAAATGTTTATTTCCTTAGATTATTGTAGTTTTAGGTAGCTGCAATACTGACAAAATAAATACATGCAAAACAGAAGTGAGATCTCACCATTAGCTGCTATACCGCACAAAAAAATTAGCTGCAAAACAAACTTAAGTTGTAACCATTTTTGTGTTTGCCAAGATTTATTAGCTGCGTGAATGGAGGTTATTTTGTTTTTATTCAATTAAATTAATTTCAATTAAGAATCCAAAGTGTTTGAACCAAACAAAAACAAAAAACAAACAAACAAAAAAAAAAAACGCAATTTCTTTTGCTTGATAAACTTTTCTCACTTGTCAGAATTCTTTAGTTGAACTTAAAAAGGCTCTGAACCCAGGAACTATAAGACGTGTCCCTATGCAGCCTCAAATAATTTTGATTGAAAAATTAATTTTTGGTAAATATTTTTTTAAATAAATATTTAAATATTTTTTCATTGAAACTACTTTTTTTGTTTGTAATGGAATTAAAAAAAATCCCTCCATAGCAGCGACCATCTTGAATGATGTACACCCAGTATTATCATTACAATCATGTCCATTAAATAACAGTTACAGGATTGCTTGCCTTTAATGGCAGACTTTATTAGGAAATAAATCAAATATAATACAGTTATTTTATACAAATAAAGAGCAGGGCCTCTGGTCTCTGTCCTCAAACTGAAACTTGACAGTTTTCATGAGATTCTAAAAAAAATCCAATTCATGAAGTGAAAACCTTTAAACATCAGGTYCACTGAGGATTGTTCTGGAAACTTTGAGTTTATGTTCAGCTGTGATCTTCACATCCAGTCTCCATCGTCTCCAACAGCTTCTTCCTCCTCGTCTCCACTGTTACGGCTCTAAAAACAGAACTCTGAGCTCAGAGGCTGGGCTGCAGGTGGTCCGGTTTAAGGTTCTGATGGACCGCATTCACTGCGTCCTGTCAGCAGGGAGGAATCTGCTGTTTGTGGATCCACCTCTTCTTCAACCGCTCTGCCWTGGCTTTATTCTTAGAAGCTGAACAAAAAAAAAGTGAAACAAATGAAAACAAACAAAAATAAATAATTCAATCTCATATTTGTGATTTAAATTTGACACAATATTCAACACAAAAACTACAGCTCCTCCGGTTGTTTTTGTGCTCAACAGAAACGTGTGTTTGGTGAACGTACCCCAGTCTTTCTTAACAAAATTAACGGCCGCACTTTTGTTTTTCCCCGTCTTGTTCTGGAGGGAGAGAAGCTCGTTGTCTGGAAGAAGACAAATGTCTGACATGAAAGCAGGAAGTTTGTTTTCAGGCAGAAGGTCTGACTGAAAGCTGGGAATGTCCCCGCCGCGTCTCCAGCAGGACATCCAGAGGAGAGGACGCCTCAGAGACGAGAGACGGGACGTTGCTTTAGCAAAGCTCAAATTGAGACAGATCATCGTCTTTACAGACTTCTGCCACAGAGTGTAGCTTGCACACATTCACTGACAATTTACACTTTTAAACAAATCAATCTGAAGCTGTGCTAAGAACAAACAGCAGATCAGAACCTTTAGAAAACAACTGACAAATACATAAGTACAGTTTAATCATTTCCTCAAGTATTATTGTAGTTTTTGCCAAATAATAGATTGAGATTAAACAAAACTGCTAAAACGAAGCTTGAATTCAGATTTGGAACAGCAGCCTGCGTTCAGTTYTTTAATTATTTGTTAGGTTTTGTTTGGGGAAAATCTCAGACTATCAAATTATTTTTAAAGAAAATAAATAAATATGTTAAAGGTTTTTCTACAGCTGCAGATGAGATGATTTCAGAGTCAGCTGCTCTCGTTTTAAACACGTCTGGCTGAGCGCTGAGAGGCCTTCTTACTCGTGCTCCTGCAGCTTCCCGGTCCGTACAGTCGTGACTGGATGAACTCCTCTGCTGCCCGCCGCTGGAAGGACGCCTCCTCTCCCTCCGTCACCGTCACAACTGTGTAGTTTCCCTTCAAGCTGAGGAAAGAAAGCAGAATTTGTGCCTCAACAATTAGAAATATAACCCACYATTAATTTAGTCTCATCTTCTAAGAAATGTTCTGAACTATCAGGAGAAAAGTTTATTTACTTTCTGACGTGTGGTAATTTTGTTCTTTCAACCAGTGCTTCTCCCTCCTCAGCTGTGTGGATAAGTTGAATTATGAGACGCTCTAYTGATCTTTACTGTAATCAATCGAAYAGAAGAGCGAGCGCTSCTTTACCTGCTTTCTCAGACTGGTCCTGTTTCCTGGGAAAAAACAAAAAAACGTAAGACGTGACAGAATCAGAGGAGAAAATGTGAAAACGTGAAGCAGGAGGACAGTCTTACTTTGAAGGAGACGGGTCGATTTCTTCCAACACTTCAGCTGGGAGGAGTTTTCTTTTCTGTGGGGAAATTATATTTAAACCAAAGAGGGGGAAATGATCATACATGAGATTAAAAATGTCATCTTACAAACATCCCAAGTTCTTCTGAAAGAAAAATCTTATTAAGTAGATTTTTGTGTAATTTCATAATAATAGATAACATTTTGGTTCTTTTATTATTTACAAATCTTATGACAGCGATTAGCTACAAGTTATTTATTCAACTTAGAATACTTATCTGACATCTGTATGACTGAATTAAGGGTTTTCACCATTTAAAAAAGAAGTTATGAAATAAATTTTTATGTTCACAACATGCATTTGAATGCACCATGAAGTCCCAAATTTTGTAACAAGTTTATTTTTGTGTTAAATAAATATTTCTGGAGGCAGCAAGGTAGTAAAAACATAACATTTCTTCAATAACTTTAMATTTGATTGATTTGCAAATTCTTGATGACTTACGTGACTTATTCAAATATTTTATAGAGCCGAGCGCAGGCTCACAGAAAATGTTAGCTGGTTATTCTTTTGTAAATGATCAGTATGTATAGATCATTASATCATTTCAATCATTAAGTTCTCTTCTTCACTAAAAACAGTTTAGGAAGACAAAGGATGCAGACCTTCTGCTCCTGGAACAGCTCCTGCCTCTTCCTCCTCTTCTCTTTCAGCAGCTCCTTCTCTCTGTAAAACATCAAAATGTGTTGTGATTGAGCTCACTTAAGAGGTACTTTCCATAACAAATCGAGCTATATATCTATATCTATCTATCTATTAATATCTATATCTATATCTATATATATATATGTGTGTGTTAAATTAAATTTGACATTGCCGATGTATAAAATCTCACTGCATAAATAAAAATGTGTAATGAAACGCGACCTGCAATGAAATTACTCAAAACTATGACAGAAAATGTCCGTATCTTTCGTTCTTGAATAGAGTTCGGTGGACGTTAGCTCAGCTAGCTGTGTTAGCTACCTTCTGGCCGTGTCCAGCGCCTGTTTCATGCTCTGTAAAGCCTGAGCTTTGGAGTCTTCAAACTTTACTTCCTCCGGCGCCTCATCATCGCTCGACTCYAAGGACAAGTCAAATGGTTTTGTTGGTTTTTCATTGTCAGCTTTCTTTTTCGGAGCAGTAGCTTTCCCACGTTGTTCCCTCGCCATGTTGGCCGATGAGATGACGTAATTTCATCGCGCCATGAAAGCGTGTTGTAGAACAGGTTTGTGGTAACATCTGCCCYCTCGTGGCAAAAAGAAGAACTACAGCCACACAAAACCAACTTTTAAAACTTTGCCACATCATGATGCTTATCATTATTAGACACATTAATAATAGTAATTGTTATAT